TGCATGCACAGAGTTGCCAAATGAAGGGAACAGCTAAGGAACAAGGGTTGACTTGGGAGTAAGGCCACAGGAGGATGTTGAATGTTCTCTCCCATAGGGAATAAAAGAGGAGTGAAAGGGGAGTGGAGTTTGCAAGAGACAATTAGTTCATTCCTGCATTCTTGCCAAGTATTGTGGCATCTGAAAGATATCAGCCTGGCCACTCTCCAAGCCTGATAAAGGTTGGTAATTGTGAAAGACTGTGGCAGTGGAAAGACTTCGCTGGAGAGGAATTCACTGTAAATTAAATAAAAGGGGTTTATCGGGACAAGGACTTGGCTTCGTGCTGCTGGGAAAGCCTAAGTCAGAACACAAGGAATTCATATTTTAATACAGAAAATCCTGAAAATGGGAGATATATACAAAACCAGAACTTTTCCTCTTGAGTCTAATGGAAAAGAGAATTGGGAGAAAAAGTTTGGAACTTTGTTACTACGTTATGTTGACAGCAGTTAAGACTATGTATGCGCAAAAATGGAAGGGCACTTCGATGCCTACCATGGAAGAATGGCTGCGAAGCTGATGGGAGTTGGCTGAAATGTCAGAATTGACTACTCCGCTCAAAGAAAAGAACAGAAATACTTTTGTTTCCATGTGGAAACCGCTTCTGAACTTCTTGCTCGAGGTGGAAAAGAATGAAACTTTGATTTTGGGTTTCACAGATTAGACTGATAGACTTTTGTAGAAATGACTGGTTGATAATATTACAGTAAAATAAAAAGTTGTGATTTGTTGTGAATGCCTTATTCTACTGTAACCAAGAGAGTCAGGAGTCCATGTTTCTTTTTCTTTCCCTACCCTTCCTCGCTCTTCTTTTTGCCCTTCCTCTTCACTGTCCTCTCAGTTGCTTTTGTATTTTATAATGCTTTATAACCTCACAAAAATGTATTTGGAGAAGGAAAATCACAAGGAAGAGCTCAGGGAGCCCAAAGAGATCCCCCTGGGGCAACCTACTGAAGAAGAATGACCAGATCTTCCAAGTGGCTCCTGGGAAGGTGGGGCAGCCCTGGATGAGGGAGGGAATGGGCACGACCCAGCCTGAGCGCCCCTTACCTTCCTCGCAGCTGTGGCCCCGGTGGCCTGGGGACAACTTCCGGCGTTTGCGCTTGGCCCGGAGGTTTCCCCGCTCCTTCACGCAGCCCAGCCGGCCATCATCCGTGGTCTCATGGAGGTTGCTGTGATGCTTCCGCCACTGTGGGTGACACAAGAGACCAGCCTGCGGTTAAGCGTGGGCAAGCTTTTTGATCCCTATTTTTAAATCGGATTGGATTCTATTCTAATTCTATCCCATCCCAATTCTATATTCTATTCTATTTTATTATTTATTCTATGTATTCTGTTCTCTATTCTATTCTAATTCTATCCCATCCCACCCCAATTCTATATTCCATTCTATTTTATTCTTATTTATTCTATGTATTTTATTCTGTATTCTATTCTATTATTTATTCTATTCTATGTATTCTATTCTCTATTCTATTCTAATTCTATCCCATTCCACCCCAATTCTATATTCCATTCTATTTTATTCTATTCTTATTTCTATGTATTTTATTCTGTATTTTATTCTATTCTTATTTATTCTATTCTATGTATTCTGTTCTCTATTCTATTCCATTCTATTCTAATTCTATCTCATCCCAACCCAATTCTATATTCCATTTTATTCTATTCTTATTTATTCTATGTATTCTGTTCTCTATTCTATTCTAATTCTATCCCATCCCACCCCAATTCTATATTCCATTCTATTCTATTCGTATTTATTCTATGTATTTTATTCTGTATTCTATTCTATTATTTATTCTATTTTATGTATTCTGTTCTCTATTCTATTCTAATTCTATCCCATCCCACCCCAATTCTATATTCCATTCTATTCTATTCCTATTTATTCTATGTATTTTATTCTGTATTCTATTCTATTCTATTCTATTCTATTATTTATTCTATTTTATGTATTCTGTTCTCTATTCTATTCTAATTCTATATTCGTTATTCTATGTATCTTATTCTATATATTCTAATTCCAATTGTAATTCTACTCTACTCCAGCTGAGTGTTTATGCTGAACTATAAACATAAGCCTACCTGCAAGGCTAACAAGCAAAGAGCACAGTGCCCATTTTTCCTTTCAAAAAATTGGTGCCAAGTGTCCAAAAACCTTTGCTTCCTTTCTGGCACTGCCACGGTTCCCCTCACCCAGCAAGGATCACCACCCTTCAGCTCCCTCCCCACCGCACAGGGACTTGTTCATCCTGCAGGCCCCTAACCTGACTCCCCCTCCCAGAGAGCAACCCTGCCCTCATCTTCCGCCATGCCATGCTGCCACTCACCTTCCGGCTGTGCTGATTCTGGCTGCTTGCCTTGCAGGGAGATCCCAATTCTTCTCCCCCGCGCGACTTCAGCTTCTTGTGGGCTGGCCGATCCGGCCCCTCGTGGTGCCGCTTGGATTTGCAGGGGAAGCCCCCCTCGACTTTGATGTGGGCCACCCCCTTCACCTTGGCTTTCGGAAGGTCCCTCAAGGTGGCCCCTGTGTGCAGGCAGGTGGCCGAGGCAAAGGGGGGTTCGGGCTCCACCCGCTCCTTCTTGATCCGGCTGAGGTCCACCTGGTGAACTGGACAGGGAGGGACCGCGACACTCGGGGCTTTGCGGGAAGTGTCCCCTCGCCGCTCCCGGCACTGTTTCTCAGCAGGAGAGGCCGACTCGGCGGTGACCCGGATGCTTGCGTGGCTGGCTAAGGGCAGGGCGTGGGCTGGATGGAGAGGCAAGAAGGGACTCTTCGCTTTGGGGTCCGCGGAGTGCTTGTGGGCACAACCCTCCGGGGGAGTTTCGGGCGGGGGCAGAAGAGTGCTCTCGCCGGCCGAGTCCGTCTCCCGTCGCTCGAGCCCCCTCGAGCCCTTCGCCTCCGGCGGGTTGGTCTGCAGAGCTGGCGAGACGCACAAAGGGCTCTCGGTGCTGGGCAGGGCTGCCTTACAGCCTTTGCCCTGGGAGGGGGCTTCGGGGGGCTTCTGGACCACCGGGGTAGCTTCTGCCAGCTGCCCTGCAGGGAACACAGCTGGTTCGCTGGGGCCGGGCGTCTTACAGGGCCCGACTGGATTGGGGGGCAGCTGTGCCGTCGCCGAGATGCCTATGGAAAGCAGGGTGCCCGGGTGGTAATGGGACCACCCGATGGGCAGGAGTTGCGGGCTGGCAGGCTTCCCGTTGAGCGAACACCGAGAGTAAAGGTTTGCTTGGCTGGGGTTCCAGAGGGACAGCTCCTTGGAGGGGCGTAAGGGAGGAGCCGGGGTGCGCCTGGTGGGGTCCGCTTGTCCCTCGGATCCATTTTTTTTTCCAGAAGGCAGCCCGGCACTCCGGGGCTCTCCCTGATCGATGATGCAGATGGGCTCCTGCTTTGGAAGATGCCTGGAGTCCCTGCTGCTTAAGTCGGCCCCGACATCCTTGTTCAACAAGACTGAGGCTGGCACCGGGTTGGCCACCCCCATGTAGGTGCCCGGAATGGTGCCAATGAAAGCTGTGGGGTTTTTCACCCATGTGCTTTGCTCTCCGTTGCGCAGCAGCTCCGGGAAGATGACGAAGGGCGAGGCCGCGGCCTGGGCCACTCGCTGGGCCTTGGAGAAGACTGGTGTCAGCAGCGCTTTACCACTGGGGTGTACCGGAGTCAGCACAGGCATGGGGGGAGTCTTGCGCTGGCTCGGCGGAGGCAGCTTCTGGCGGTTGGACTTGGAGGACAGGTCCAGGGGCATCTCGCTGCATTCCGGGGAGGAGACCATCTCGCGTTCCAATTGTGGGGGGGACTTCAGCGGGGAGATGGATGCCAGGACCCCTGTCGCTAACCGCTCTGGGACTCGGGGCAGCACGGTGGCAGGACCTGAGAGGGGGACGACGCTGGCGCAGGAGGCTGCCAAGGCCGGGGTGCTGGAGACCAGTTCTGGGCCGTTGGCGGGAGGGCCGGAGCCCGGGGTCGTGGGGGTGCTACTGTTTTCTCCAGAAGGCTTAGGAGGGCAGCTTAACTGAGCGGCCTCGACACAGGCAGCTTTGGGGTCAGGCGCTAAGGGTCTGCCCACAGAGAAAGTGTACGGGTAGGGGTGAAGGCCGGGCAGGCAAGGGTCTTGTGGGAAGGACGATAAGACCGGGAGGGCAAGGGCGGGCGAGACCCCCAGCGCGTTGGAAAGAGGAGGAAGGTAAACCAGTGGCTGGCTGGGAGCCAGGACGGTGGCTCCGGGCGGCAGGGAAAGGGACATTTTTTGCATAGGGGGGGCCGGAGAGGTCGAAAAACAGACGCTCTTCAGGGTGTAGGTGGCGGCGGCCGGAGCCCCCGTACTGCAGCTGCTGCTGCTGGTCGCAGTGATGGGGTTGACGGAAGCAGCGGGCGCTGGGAGACCCTTCTCTTTTCCCATCTGCTCGCTTTCCGGAGCCTTGGGGCAGATGGGGGTCACCTCCGCCGTCTCTGCAGCAGAGGCGAACGGGCAGTCCAGGCTGCTGCGGCGGCTGCTCTTGTCCGGCTGGGGTGCTTCTTCTGGCTCTTGAAGCTGTCCAGCCTTGGCATCGCTGTCCTTCAAGGCCTTCTGGGCACAGTCTGGCTCGTGGGCCTGCTCCCGGAGTTGGGGGCCGGCTTCTTTCTCCACGGTGCCCTCCGGTTCAAACCCTTCGGCGCCCCCACCGCTTCCTGAAACCGCTGTGATCTCCACCTGCGAAAAGGGGAGAGAGGGAAAGAGAGAGATCAGGACCAGGGCAGTTTGGCCAATTCACAGGGACGAGGGCAAAGGGCATTCCACCCTCCTTCCCTCCCACACCCGACCAGGGGTGGGATTCAAAAATTTCAGCAATGGCTTCTCTGCCCGGTGGGTGTGGCCATGGTGGGTGTGGCCTAGTCGGCCTCCTGCACCATGGTAGGGGTGTGGGCACAATTTTGCCTTCCCCAGGCTCCAGAGGTTTTCCTTGAACCTCGGACCGGGGGGGGGGGGCAAAAACTGCCTCCCCCAGGCTCTGGAGGACAGAAATGGGCCCGTTTCCCGCCTTCTGGAACTTCTGGGAGGTCCGTTCTCCCCCCTCCCCAAGTCTCCACACCG